GAGTAACTTTCCAAAGGAAACAAAATACATCAGTTTTACAAAAACTAAGCAACGAAAAGCTGAGAAAGTATAATCTTAAATAAATACACAGTCTAGTCGATTAAAAGTTTGATTACCGCTACTTATTACTATAAAAATAATGTCGTCTTACTAGTTGTGTGGTTGAATCGACTGCAAATTTTACAGACAGAACTAATAACGAAAACAAAGGCTTGACATAAAACCATTATAGTATGCAGAAAATTCAAACAAATTTAAAGTAGCAGTGAAGACAATATATAAGGAGTTACTTGATTTCTGTCTGAAATTTTGTACAAAAACACTCAAAATCTGCTGAATATGATGGTGCTATATGATCGTCTAAGTGCGAGCCAATACTGACTTATTTACCGTGGTGTACATTGTAATTTTCTGGAACATGGAATTACTTGTTATATGATTGACATCATCGTTATATTCAAATACTTGATTACCTATGCCTGTTACCCCTCGTGGGGAAACATGGACTGCTCACCAGCACTTTCCAACGAACTCTGTCCTGGGCAATTGTTTCCAGTTTCCATTCATCCTTTTCATGTCTCCTTCCAATTCTCGTCTCAGTGTGTTCTTTGGCCTTCCTCTTTCCCGTTTCCCTACATGATTCCAAGTTAGAGCTTGCACCGTGATGCAATCTGATGATTTCCTCAATGTATGTCCTGTTCACCAACTCCGACGTCTTTTTATAGTTCCCTCCTCAAATGGAACTTGGTTTGTTATTTCCCACAGTAGGTTACTGTTCATGGTATCTGGCCAACGAACATCCCGAACATCCCATGTGCCTATATTAATTGTTTCTCCAGTTGTTAGAAGAGGCTTCAGTCTTATGATTTCCGAAAAATCTCAGCTTCCATCATGAGGCGTCAGAATTCTTCCTTCAACTGTGAGGGTAGAGTTTAGATGGTTTAATTTGTTTATTCTGGTAATCGTTTTTTAAGCAAGACTGTTTTCTGAGGGATGGGGTTACCGATCCTGCGCCCAACCCTCCTCCTTTATTGGGCTTGGGACCGGCAGTAGCTCTAGAAGAGCTACAGGCAGAGTTATCATCGTTATCAGTACCTCACAAATCAGTTTGAGTGGTTTAACTTACATGTAATGTGTACAACATTATTTCAAAATACGAGTAAAATCAGATATTGTTTAAAAGTTTTTGTTAGCACAAGTATACGATAACCACTTTAGTTTAAGTTATACATAATAAAATGTTTTAATAAATGTGATAGTGTAACAGTATATGATACTGAAGAAGAAGAAGCTAAATCCAATACTACACTAAAACAAATTTAGCAATTTTTAACATAAGTATGATTTGTAATTTACTTAAAATTTCTCAGCAACAAACGGAAAGATAAAGGTAATACAGTTTTTATTTGAAAAAGATGCTAGTGATAAATCTTATTCTCACACAAAATCTATCACTGCACCATTTACTGTTTCTTATTTTTGTTCATATTTCATAGACTTTTAAAATTGGCTATCATATTCCGACTATATATTACTGTTATGTCCCGACAAGAATAATGAATGGTAACTTTTGGGATTCATTTATGGACCAATACTAAACGTATATTTCTATTGTATAATTATTAAGTAACTAAACTATGCATATTCATATTCCTCCTATTATAAGCTCTATTTTGACCCATAAACTATTATTATACGTTTTACCATTCTTGAGTTATACCCAGTATATTAATTACCACCTCCCTCATTCACAGCCACATCTGGCTAATTCTTGTACAAATGTTGTTTCATATTTTATTGGTACGTTGTGGTCTGTTTGATTGGTATATAAACTCAGTATGTTTGAAATATAATGGTTCATATCGCAGAGGCTCGGATTGGTGTTCTGGACTTAATTGACTGTACTAGGCAGGAAACAAGGCCAATCAGAACTCTAGGCTGCTCTCACATGTTTTACGCATCCTTGGTCCGATCGATAATTCACTGCTTTCTAATCGGCGGTCACAAGTTATAACAATTACACTAGATATAATGTATTTAGTCTGAATGAAAAATGACAGAATAGTCTTAAGAAAGTATGATTGGTCATCAAGATTGGAGGTTTTAGGATTATCACTGGTTCTATTGTGTGTCAGAACACACTTATGAGCTAGAGATTATAAATGCTTGTTTAGTTCTTTCAATAAAATATGTTATGTATATTATATCTTAATGTAATGTCTAGTAACATGCTGTACTATTATTAGTATACTGTTTGATTACACAAAAACCTTTACAAATTAACCATCAAATAATAATTATTCTCATGTTTCGATATAACACAAATGTGTCATTTTCTAAATATTAAACTGTTTTGACAATAATAATAAAGCAAAATTAAAGATAGAATGAACGACAAAATATAACATTAAGCATAACTAAAAAGCTAGTGTTTCATTTTCGTTCCTATTGTGGTCGTCAATTCTTTGAACAAATAAACCACCAAATTTATTTATAAACGCTAAACTTCCATCGTAAGTAGATGTCTATTGATTTAGTGAATGGAATTTAGCTGATTTCGTGTAAACATCTATATTTGATTGAACTTCATTTTCATTAAAAAGAAGCTGAAAAGGTCAAACGAAAATTCCCATAGCAAACAAAAAACAGTCTCCAAGTTAACTAGATTGAAAAGAAATTAGGAATATGCTATGTTTGAAGAGATTAACAGTTCACCTGATCTGATGACGGAACTAAGACTCTGTGACACAATGACCAGCCCCACTAACTAGAAAGAGAAGTCCAATTTCGAAAGTGGGAAATATATTACATAAGCAGCCAGAAGCACGAATAACAACAATAAGCACAACTCAAGCGTATATATACTACATAAAATGTCCTTGGGATGCGTTACAAAATAGCATACTAAAAGAGGCAACGAACCAATAGCATTTAAAGTCCTCCCAAGTGGGAAATACAACAGGAACGTGAAAATGGGTGTTTTTGGAGCGAAAACAAGAAATTCAATTAAAAAATAGAACTGTAAAAATAAGGCATTTACCAAGTGAGTTCTGGGGATCTAACATCCCCAACAGAATATAATAGAAAATTCTTAGTAGAGATAATGAGTTGTGCAAGTTAAGCCGGCAAATTTAGTGGAATTAAGACAAAATTTGTAACTGATGTTATTCTAGCAAATCTAAAGATAATTATAGTTAACTCTCGTCTACTTAGGTGATTAACACATATCTTAAGATTTTTCGCTTAAACTCACCTAGAATATTAAGTTGTATAAGAGTATAATGGAAAACGATTATACATCAACCAGACAAAAATATATCAGTCCATGAAAGCAATAAGTGCCAGTTTTAACGTCCTTGCAATGTGCAAACTTCATGATTGGTGTCCTCATTACTTAGAAGAGACTTTTAGTGGAGATTTATTAGGTATCTTCAAGTAAGCTAGTATCTATCATGCCAAAATTTCCCTTACGAGGTAACTACACATAATTTAGGGATTACGTAACCAAAGGAATAGTTTGTTATTGTTCAAACTTGTATGTGATCAACCTTACTTTATTCATATGAAAGATTTGTGTTTTGTTTTTACATTATCTTAGGCTGATATGAGAAAGACATAGAGTTGTCTATTATTTCACCTTAAACATACCACTTCATGAAATATAACATGACACTGTAACATATTGAAAATACAGCATCTCTCAACTAGTAGTTGGAATCAACTTTCAAAGAATCATATTAAATATTTCCGGTTAGATTTTATTATTTTTAGTGCTGCATATGGTATAAGTTCCTCAAAACTAAAAAGGTATTTAATCTTCTAGTTAATTGAGTATTCATTTAACTTAGACATTATCTCAGCCATTATCTTAACCCTTAAATAATTATAACTTTTATCAAGTCTTACTATTATTGATGAAGCAATTCAAATCTACTAAAAGATTTAGTTTTCCTTCAGTACAATGAAACAGCAGTCTAGTAATAGTAGTAGTGTAGTGTACTATCGTAAATCTCCTATTAGAACAATAAAATATTAGAAGGGGTTTTGTGGAGATTTTTAGAAATTTCACTGAATGAAATCATAAGTTTAGCTTCAATGGACTCATGATTTCAATCAGTGAAATAAAAGATCAGTCAAGTGATTATAGATGTTTTATTGTTTAGATTTATGACTCATATGAATACACAAATAACGGATTAAACTAAAATGTGCGAGGATTCATAAATTTTATTAAATGCTTAACTACTTCTTTTTTCTATAAAACCAAATAAATAAAAGATAATCAACTTTTATTGGTAATCAGCAAAAGATATAACAACAATTAATGGGTTATGAAAGAGTGTACAATTCAAACGAAATTAAAACTTATAGAATAAACATTTAAAAAGTATCAATTGAACATATACAAAATAATCAAAGAAAAAGTTACCCAACTTTCATAAGTTGAGTTTTTTTCCTCTCCTATTACAGTAATATTCTACTTACATTACTAATCTCAATTAATTTGTGTGAAATAAAGAAACCCATTACTTGTTTTTGTCAAATTATAATATTCATTTCCATATTAGTCATATCATTGTACTTTCTTATTTATTATCTGTTCAAAAAGTTGTAGTATTACAAGTACAAAATGATTAAATTTGTTACACGATTTACACAAATACCATTCTAATCAAAATGATTATTATTATTATTATTATTATTATTATTATTATTATTATTATTATTATTATTAGAAGCTATATTCAACATTATATTTTTGGTACAATATAGAATTCTCAGCATAAAGTATTTCAACAAGTTTCCTTTTCTTATATCTTGATCGATTGTGACGATAAATTTTGAATGATGACCAGTTAGATGTTAGGAGTTTGGTAATCCACATTTGATTAATGTTCATTCGTTTCAATGCGTATTACCAGCCGCCATGATGTCGCTGATTGTACCTTTTTGTAACCCGTAAAGCGAAAGGTTGTAAACTTTTCATAAACGCGCCTGAATAGATTGTGAGCACAATAGACATAATGATGTGCTAAAACAAACAAGAAAACAGATAACTTGATGAAATATCTAGATCGGAGAAACAGGTAGCCCAGATATTCAAGCAGGCCGCCACGTTTTAAACAAAGAAAAAATCAATTAATAACTTCTGTTTATTTAGACGATGGGGGTTAATTTTATCAGTAGTCAAACATTTTCGTCTTGAAACTTTTTCAATTATTTAATCTATAATCATCACTAAATCACCAAGTTATATCCAATTTGTAATATACATAAGAAAAAAACATTTAAAAAAATAATTTTTTTTCTTTACAAAATACCAAAAGTGTATTTGTAAGCAGTGATGGATAATGGCTAGCAGTGGAATCCAGGACGCGCGTTTCGTCCTATTTGGGACTCGTCAGCTGGATGTACCTGCATCTCAGAGTTGATGTTCAATATCGAGGCATATGCACAGTATGCACATATGCCAATAACAGACTGATCAATTTCAGTCTTAAACTTCAATGGGAAGAAACAAGCCAAACAATGTCAAGTGAATACCAAAAGTGTAGTTTTAATTTTTAAAGTTTACAAATTGCAATAACAAATGATAAACAATTATATGAAAAGTAATAATAATAACACACACACAATAGAATGTGATTAACATATGTGTTAATGTAAAAGGCATATAGAAACTACTATTGTTATTTTGTTGTTTTAAAATGTTTGTGTTATTTTTACTGTGCTAGTAAAACCAGTAGAGTTTAATTGTAATATTCTTAAAACAAGAAGAGAAAACATTATGACTAGGTAAATTAGAATGTAATATCAAAATTTCGGTCATTTTATAATAACTATTAAGCGTATATGTATATGAATAACTCACTATAATGATTAAGAACAGTTCACGTATAACCTGATTAAATGAAGGTTAGGAATTAAACAAAATTTACCATCGTCCATGTGTAATGGTAAAAATTTAATAAAGTACTACATTACCTTCTATAACCAAATGGTCAATATGATCTAAGTTAGTATAATATACTGTTATTTTGAGTTAACACATTGTCTCCAAGCTTCATTTTAGTATGTTATTGAAAAACAACTGTTCCATCTTCTTGAAAGCATAAACGAGAGGGACAAATCAGTTAAGTCGGTATTTAAAAATCATGCTCTTAATTTATTTACATAAAATGAAACGAAAAAAACTGGGCTTTTCCTTCATAGCATCATCGGCGAACATCTCATTCAATAACATCTAGGAAAGCATACAGAAGAAATAATTCAATTGGAAATGGATTAGATTATCTCGTAATTTATATTTTAACTGAAATTTGATCAATTATGATTGACAAAAGTGCACCCTATGTGGATTGTCTCTATATAGCCACTCTGACACATATCAGGACAAAATAGATGGAACATGGTTAGAACTGGAACCCAGGACGCGCGTTTCGTCCTGTTACGGACTCAAAAACTCGATTTACCAGTATTTTAGTTGATATTCGTTCTGTGACTCAAACCCAATACTGTTCGCTTCAAACGCAATCAAGTTATCCACTAAGTTACCTAAAACCTCAATTTATAATAGACATTTAACAGTCTTGTTGCTATAAACAGATAAAATGTGTATACATAATTGAGATAGTAATCATTAAGTGAAACTAATCTTTCACTTGTGACCCTTGGGCAAACTTGTGTTACTTTGCTGTCGGTTATTTATTTACTCTGAAGAAGTGGCTTACGTTAAGTCACGAAACGTCAGATATACTTATTTACTCATTAAAATAAATGTTTATTAAAAGTGATTGACAGAAGATATAGCTATTTCTATGAATAAATAAGTAGCAATGACCATAGGAACCACTGAACACTTTAGTCGTGTAAATATTATTCACAATGTTGAGATACCGTTTCAAAAAGTTGTCCTGTTTTCATCTTCTATCTAGTTTCATCTCCAGAGTATTCATTTAGCCTAAAAAAGTGTTCCTCTAATCATTCCAAATTCATTCTTCTACATACTTCGGTTTTAGTTATTGAGTAATAATTATTTCTACTGAATATGTTTTCATTGCATATATGAACTGAGGTCACAAAAACTTGATTTCAATATATTTAGGGCATATCAATCTTACCCTCTTTCAAATAGTACGCGTTGTGGTAAATAAATACCCACAATAAATAGTTATTTAGGTCATCGACATTGATGCTGACATTATTAAGTTTATTGAACTACATTTTACAGTTTATTTAAAATATACTACATATTTCTGGGGCAAACACAGTAGTTGAAGACGTCTTGCCTCGTAAAATTCCTTGAGCGGTTTCCATGAAATCGATCTTATTAAACCCACCCAGCTACAAAAAGACACCGATCTTCAGCACCATTTATCTCCGACAACCATAAAATTAGAAGTCAAACAGATGGGAACAGCTAAACAAACGCTACTATATGACACATTTACAAGTAGGGATCGTTCAACCGTGCCAAAACATTAACGGCAACACGTCTACACCATGTTGCACAAACTTTCTCATCCAGGTGTTCTAGCTATCACCAAGCTCATAGCACAATGATTTTGCTTGCGTGGTATGAACAAAGACGTAAGAGAGTGAGCGCACCAGTATATGATCCCAAAAATCTATGGTGATCAAACACAGTAAATGTCCCTTAGGCTCTTTTCAGCTTCTGACACTCGCTTCGATCGCATTCATCTTGATTTAGCAGGACCATTACTAGAATCAAATGGATACTCTTATCTCTTGATATCTGTGAACCATTTCACATGACGGCCAAGAAGAGTACCTAACTAGGAGATGAATACTGAAAGAATGACTCGCATCTTTATCGAGCGATGGGTAGAAAACTTAGGCCGTTCTTCAACTATTACTTCAAACTGTGGATTTCAGTTCAAATCTGTACATTTTCACCGTCTTTCTACACTCCTGAGAGTCACAAAACTCCAAACCAACGCTACCCAAAGAATAATGGTTTAGTAAAAGTATTTCACTGACAGTTAAAAGCCTCACTTTTAGCTCCAAACATATCAAGATGAACCTACGCTCCCTTAATTGTGTTACCTGGAGTTCGCAACATAATGACAGCTGACATTGAATATACTGTATTTCAACTCATTCACGGCACGACACTCTGACTTCCAGCAGAACCTGTAGAGCCTTCGTCTTCGCCAATGAATTTCGTTCTAAACTCCCAATATGAGACGACTCACAGACGAAATGCGCCTAGTCAAACCTGTTGCTATCAGACCTCACTCAGCTTGTAGGGAACAGGAACACTAGTAGGGACAATCAAGTGTACTTGAGCATAAACTCACGGAAAATCTCACTAAAATCTGAGAACCATATAGTAAATAGTTAATTTGCAAAATATCAATCCATCGTCTCAAGCTTGACTGTTTCTTTTGCAAATATCAGTCCATTGTCCCAGATTTCATTGTTCGTGCATTTTCATACCAATTGCGTTCCGTTCCCGTTCTTTCCTTATCGATCTTCTACTGAAATACATTCTACGCCTGACCATTTTTATATACTACTTATGTGGATATAAGTAGCCCACAACACAAGCTGATGTTTTTTTCAACCCGCTTCACGGTCAAGTACACAAATTTTGATCCATCGTGCTTCGTTAGCCCAACCCTTCGAAGATGCATATGAAGGGCTCTATAAAGTCTTAAACTCAAATACTAATCCAGCGATAAGAGTGGGACCAAGGATAACTTCAACATCGATCAACTGAAAGCGACTTAATTAGAAGGTAACTACTTCCCCATCAACTCTTAAAATATACAGCCAAACGATGCAATCCCTTAGATCCTAACACAATTCGTGGTAGCCAATAACCAAAAGAGAACTTCTCCGGTATCTAATAATTCCCCTAAAACAACACTCTCTGGAAGAGCCGATAGGCTACTAGAACACATAAATTACTATCTGTAGAAAGTTTAGACATCTTATTACTTTATCTTTAGTTTCCCGTGTTGTACAGCTTATTGGTTGCCTTTTCAATCTTTGTTGTCTTGAAAACAAAAAAACAATACAAACAATCTATTTTTGATGCGCTTATATACACATATATATTTGTTTTTTTAAAATAAAACCAAAAAGTTCTAAAATGCTTATATAAATATACTTTATAGAAAAACCAAGAAACAACCTTTGTGAGTATGCAATTTTTCACTGTCGTATGGTGTGTATACAGATATGTACATATGTATTTTTCACATAGATAGTAGATAAGTTGATTGTAAGACATTGGACTAAAACTCAGGATTCATTACCATTATTATTATTATTACTTAAACAGAGTTCATAACTATCTAAGCCATCAACATATATTTATTTTCGTTACTAAAAATGGCTTGATTTCCATTATCATAAGACTACATTACTTCAGAATGTCTTAGTTATTTATAAGTTGAATAGTCACTTATTGAAAATAATAAAGCAGTAATTGAAGCACGATTTGTAACTACAACAAAAGTACTAAAAACACATACATTATAAAGTTTACAACTTAAATAAATAAATTTTCTTTAAGAACAGTAATTATTTTTGTCTCGTCCTTTATATTGAGCAACAGAAATCCGTGAATCTAGGATTTATTCTTGCAATAAATAATTATATCAGAATGGGGTTTGTGGAGATTTTAGAAATTTCAGTAGTTGAAATCATGAGTCAATTGAAGCTAGACCACCATGGGAAACCTGGAAGCACTGGACGACCGTTTCGTCCTAGTACGGGACTCCTCAGCAGTGTGCATCCACGATCCCGCACCCTGTGGGATTCGAACCCAGGACCTACTGGTTTCGCGCGCGAGCGTTTGCATGATTCCATTATAAACTTTTTAAACATTAATAACAAATACAATACACATAATGAAATCTAAATTAATCGATATAAAGTATTCAGTAAGATAGGCTAACTTGAGACTAATTTATACCGTGTTAATCTAAACTTGCCCTTATCTTTATTGGTCTATCGCCCAGATATATTGAATTATGTATGTACATATGACAGTTTTAATAT